TGATTACTCTGAAATTTTGTTGTATTCATTATGACTTGAAATCAATGGGTATTGGTCATGATAAGGCTCAAAAGTCATGTTTCAGAGTGCTTTCTATATTTCTCATTTCATATTTAATGTTTCAGAAGCATTTTACAAAGAGCAATGTCAAATATGCAGGATAAGCTCATTGCCATTTAATCTGTGTAATGAATTGGCTTCTTATGTCAAGCGTTATTTTTTAATGTAAACACAAGTGTTTATTGTCTAGAGGTATTGAAGTCTGGGTTTTTACCTGTTAGTAAAGTTTGACCTGTTATTTGATTTCAGGTGCTCTTTCATTGGGTTGCTACCCACCTTTGGAGGGAAATTTATACCGAAAACTTCTTCTGATTCCTTCTTATTTATCTGAGATTGAAATGCTTTTAGCTATTGAAATCTTCCTGGTTTCTAACGCTAGTAGTATTCAGAGTCCGGGGACCTCCACACAGATGCTGCAGATAGTTTTGAAAAGGTTTGTTGCTAGAACTTTAACTGCATTCTGAATGCCGATCCTGCCCCCCTAGGATGTATGTATTTGTATACTTATAGATTTTTTTTAATTCTTATATTTATGTGTTGCAAACTTTGCTAACATTTAAATTAAGAATTACACCTGTTGGAGGCTTAAAATGAAACAATTTAGTATCATTAAATAAACATTTCAGTGACTTCAAAGATACCCTTAATTCAGAGAAGTATTTTCCTGTATTTAGAGATCCACACCTCAAAGATCTTTATCTTTTTTTGTCAGTCCAGAAGATAAGGGCCAGGTCTACAAGGGAAATATGTGATGGTTTATTAGGATCAGTCGAGAATATTGTTGAAAATAAAATCATAGGCCTAGTTTCTGTATTTTTAAATGTTGTTATAAATGCATGAAAGAGTCCCAGATTGAGACTTCTACCACTCCAGTTTGTTATTAGCTGTGTCCAGGAAACTTGCAATATAAGGATTTCGTGGGCCCCCTGTTTGAGAGCTTCTTCACAAGAATTTTACTTCAGCTTGTGGTGTTACAAACCAGATCCTCAGATTGAATGTTAAATTGGTTATCTGTTACTTGGGTCAGGCAGCTCAGAGCAGTTTAGCTGGATGGTTCTAGCTCAGGGTCCTCCCCGAGTCTTTGACACGGTTGGAGCCTGGGTGTAGGAGCTGCCGTCACCCATGGGATAGCTTCCCGCGGCTGTGCGACCCCTCCATGGGTGGCTCGCTGCGGTGGCTGTTGGCAGGAAGCCTCGGTTCAGCACACGGTTCTCCAAGGGTCACGAGAGTGTTTCACAGCATGACAGTGGACTTCTCTCACGCGAGTGTTCCCACAGAGGGCAGGCAAGGAGGAAGCCACAGGGCCTACATCAAGAACTGGGAGGCTTTACCCTCCTTTGCAGTCTGCGTGTTGGCCTGCCGCAGGTTCATGGGCGCTTGCATAAGGTCCAAGACTTCTGTGGTGGAGACTGAGTATGTCTTTACTGTGGTACAACAAACAGCCTGATTGTCTACCTATTTGCACCCTTCATTTTTGCCCCTAAGTCCCACAGCAGGGCCACATGGGTACTCAGACATGCAGTGGGTCATAGGAGAGGAGCCCCAAGCTTACGGAACCCACGACTTTTACAGTGGGTAATAATGCATGCTCCGTGACTTACAGAAGCGTACCGTCTCCATGTGCTAGGGCTGGAAGCAAGCCTGCCCTTGACTTCAGAAGGAAAACCTTTGTCTTTCAAGGTTATTCGCCATGTGAACATCATTGAGCAAAAGGCATTTTCTCTCAAGACTCCCAAATATCAGAGACCCATGGAGAACTGTCATTCAACAACCTAGTAACCCAAGTTGTGCACTATTGCTTCTCTCTTCTGTTGTTATAGATGAGTCATTTAGGCCAGGCTACACATAAGGGAAGCAATTGGGAAATCCCTTTTTAAAAACCCACTCACTTTAGCCTTTTTTCTTAGGGCAGCCTTGTTCCTACGGGCTTCCTCATGCATCACTGGGCACTGTGGTGGCTCAGGGCATCTGGGCTCCCTGTTATCCAACTGAGGACCTGGGTTTCCGTTAGCTCTCCCCCATGCATCTGCAGTCTCTTCAGTCATGATTGAACTGAGGGACATCTGTGACCCTCACGCCTAACTGGAGACCCACCTAGATCTCTGCTTTAGTCTAAGCAAGTGTGCTCGCTCTCGGGCTGAGCCCTGCTTGTTACAGTAAACCACGTGGGAATTTTATTCATCTTTTGACTTTCAAAAACTGCACATGGCTGGCATTTGCCCAATCTGCCAGATTCCAGGGCATGTCTTTCTAAGCTAGAACGTACTAGGAAGTACCTGGAAACTCTTTGCTCTGTGACCACTGGTTCCTATTTCAAGAGCAAGTCTTCATTTCATGAAGTGGGCAACACTGTAGTGTTTTAACATGTAGGCTCTTATTAAGAATGTACTGCTGGACCTTATCAGTACTAAGAACAAAAAGCAGTGAATACATGGAAAAGTGATGCCTAATTTAATGCCAAGTTTAAATTCTTCCCCTCCCTACCCAGAGGAAAAAGTGCTATAAAGTATGAATTTTCTATTTTCTGTTAGCACATGCCCATTTGCTGCTTCATTCCTCACATGTCCCTAACCGCTGGCACTGGGCCAGGGCTGAAGCCTGGAACCAGGAACACAGTTCAGATCTCCCTTGTGGGTAGCAGGAACCCAATTATTTGAAACCTGCCCCCTCCTCCTGGGGTGCGCATTGGCAGAATGCTGGCGTCAGGAGCCAGAGCCGGGAATCAAACCCAGGGACTCCAGTCTGAGATGTGGGCATATTAACCACAAGCTAAATGCCCACACCTAAGATACGAATTTTACCCAAGTAAATAGAATTCATGGCAGATAGAGTTGCTAGGAAAGTTATTAAAAAGGTAAGTTCAGCACTTTGTTCAGAACTAAAGACTGGAAGTTTAATAAGGCATAGAGCAACACAATCTCTATTATTGTTAACTACATACTGTCTGGTTATAACTAAAAATAGTCGATATCCAGGTAAAACTAACATGTCACAGTAGATCCTGAGCCAGATTGCATTTAATATTCTTTTGTAAAAAACCGTCAATCACCACCAGAGCTCCATGCTACATGATTTGAAAAAAGGAGCCCCGGAGTGGGGGACATGTCTTTCTGTTTTCTGTTTGGCTGTCACCTGCCAAAGAGAATGACCTTGAATTCAGCCTGGTGGTTTGGGAAACATCCCTCAGAACTACTGATTCCAAGTTGGGTAGTGAATCGGGATGCTGTTGACTGTCCAGGAGAAGCTTTTATCAGAATAGCTTCCACCACTCTATAGACACAGGAAAAGAATATGGGGCCTGAATGTGGTGGGTCTCACTGGAAAAGCAAGAATATGAAATAAAGATAACACAATGTGTTATCTGGAAAATACAAAGACACAGGTAATTAGCTGTGTTTTAGATCATTGTTTTTTGAACTGTTACTGCTCATTTAGGTGATGAAATAAATCAATTTAGGGTGAAACCAGCATGATTAAATGAGAGACGCTAGCATGTACATCAGGGTAAGAGTCATTTTAGGCAGGAAGGTTCATCTGGGTGGTAGCTAGAAGATGCCTTTCTTTTGGTGAGTTTGGGTCCAGAGGGTTTGAGCTCCAGTTACAATAATGCTGTGAAAGGACTGGTCAGAGTTTCTGCCTTTGAAGGAACCACGCAGCTTCTCCTAACATTTCTGACTCTGTGAGGTGTTTACTTCGCAGGTGTGAAGAAAGCAAACCCCGGGGCAAGGACGATTACCAGGCCGCGGTGGAAAGGTTAATTATGGCCGCTCGCATCTCGGACCCTAAGCTTTTCGTGAAGCACATGACCGTCAACGTGAACAAGGAGCAAGTCTACAGCCTGGAACACTGCTCCGCCCTCAAATGGCTGAAAGAGAATATGAAGTGGGCTGGAAAAGTCTGGCTGTTCAGTAACCATTAGGCTTTTATTTTTTTTTTAAGTTCAAGTAATCATTGTTGAAAATAAAAGGCAATAAAGATACAGTTCTCACTATTCAGCATTTGCCCTATATTCACATACAATAAATTCTTTTCAGACACTGAAAGTTGCGGTCCATGTGTAATCTGTAATGGTTGTATCCCCGCTGAAATGTTAGCTTTTTAAAAATTGAGGGAATCTACATCTGGTAAATATCCTGAAATGCAAACTATGAAAATCACAACGTGAATACTGTGAAGCATTTACTGAGAGGGGCACTGTGCAGACAGGGAACTGGTTTTAGGACAGCTCCAGCGGCACGTTAACCTGTGCATTTGGTCCAGTCTCCCCCGTCTTCGCAGCCATCGCACGTCCAAGATCAAGAATGGCAAGATGGCATTGCGTAAAGACGCAAACACTAAAATTCTACAGTATCTTCTGCGTTGTGCCAAAGTATTTTAAGTATATTAAATATTTTAAATTGCTTCCTGTGCAGTCTTCCTTCATATGATTTTTGGAAATTTGTAATTGTTACACTGTTAAGTACACCAGAACTTATATATATGTTCATGAAAACAAGGGTTGGTCCCTGCAAGCACTCCAGGAAACTAAAGTCCTTGGCGGATCTGCAGCGCGTTCTCCAAGGTAGCAATTCTCACCCTTCATTTGATACTTAAACCAGAATCTAAGATCACTTAGGGGAAAAAGTGTGGGTAATAAGCAATCAGTAAATTTGAGGAGGACTCCAGACTTTATTAAGAGCACCTCATGGGGCCAAACCCAAAGTCTCCTCAGACGAGGACCGCTGCGTCCCGCTTCGCGAGCGAGGCCCGGGGCCTGGGGGCCTGACGGGCTGGGAGGCGGCAGAGCCGAGAAGACGCCGGCGCGAAAGGGGGATTCATGAAAAGGGGGTGGGACGGCAAGGAGGACCCCAGGGTTGAGAGCCGCGCCGGTCCTAAGGCGTCTGCTCCAGGGCACACGGTCGGGGACGGTTAGGCTCACCCGGCGCATGCGCGCGCGCCAGACCAGCCCTCCCCGCGCCCTCGGGCCAGGCGCCGCCAACTGACGGCCAGTCGTTTTCCAGCCTCGTCCCGCGTCCCGCCCACGGCTCCTTCGCCCAAGCCTCCGCGGAGCGCCTCTGCGCAGCCGGTAAGAGGGCGGAGGGGCGAGGCGCGGGCTGACGCCCCCAGCCTGTGGGCGCCCCGGCGGGCCGTGGGAGCCGCGCGCAGGCGCCCTGGGCAGAGAACGGGCGCGACTCGGCCAATGAGCGCGCGGCTGCGGCCCCTGCGCGGGCTCAACCGCCGGCGAGGCGTGCGTGGCCCGCTGAGGCGTCCGGGTCCCGGCTGGGCGAGCGCGGCGCGCTGGTGGCCTGTCTGCGGGAGCGCGAGCGGGAGCGTCCTCCCTCCCGAGTTCACGTCCACTGATCTGATGGACTTCCCTGCTTCTGTTGTTTTGATCCCCACCCTAAATTATAGTGTTCAACTAAAGAGCGGGGAAGAGCTGCCTGCCCCAGCCCTCCGTTGTGGGTCCCCCGTTTCTGAAAGCGCTGAAGACAGCCACAGTCTCGATGAGAGCAGCCTGGCATCGACTTTGTTCCAATAAGTCACTTTTCGAATAAGAAGCGGTGCCCGATGGCCAAAGCTCACTCATGGGGAAAGCGGTTACATGCAGGCGTGGGCACGGGCCGAGTGGCCGGAGGGTTGCCCGTGAAGGAGAGCACGAGCGGTAGCTCCAAACGTGGTGCATGGCCAAGAGACCGCTCCCTTGTTACTAGCGTTTAGGAATCCGGGGCGTTGCCTTAATTGGATAAATAAGCCGGTGGGGTCTTGGCGTGCGTCCTGGTCCCGGATGCGACAGCGGTGCATCCCGAGAAGGTGGGTGTGCCGACGTAAGGCTACATTGCAGGGTTGCAAGAATCCCCACTCGCCTCAACTCATCCAGCTGCCTGATTCTGTCAGTTTGCGGTGATTTGGAAAAGAATGGTATCCTTCCCGTCTCTGTCCCCCTTCCGCGCGTCCTTGCCATCCCCCATGGCACCTGTGGCTTCTGGGAATTCCAGGATGACGGGCTACACAGTCCTCTGCCTCCTAAGCTGCTCCCCCCTCGGGGACTCGGCCATAGCAACACAGGACTGACCACGACCGGGCCGGGGCCGAGGCCTGGCTCTGAGCGTGTGCAGCGCCTGGAAGCCCACCGGCCTCCCCACTTTCCCGTGTCCGGGCCCTGCCCCCAGCCTCCCGGGGTCCACACAGGCCTGCGGCCACTCCCAGCCCCCGGCCCCGCTGCGACACCAGGCTGCACTCCCGGGGCCTTGCTGGGACTGGCAGTGAGGCTGGCCGGAGCCCCTCCACCTGGGAGCGCCTGGCACCCAGCCTGTCCTGAGGCTGCCACGCCCACCTCCCTCTGCCCCATAGTCAAGCACCCCGCCCCTGCACCTCTGCACTTGAGCTCCCCGGCCCTGCTCCTTCTGTCGCTTGACTCCAGCAGACCCCGTCTTCAGTCTTGTTCACTGGGGGGGTGCAGGAGGGCAGGAGAGCACAGGGGGAAGGCGTCTCTCAATTTTTTTTTTAATTTTTTGACAGGCAGAGTGGACAGTGAGAGAGAGAGACAGAGAGAAAGGTCTTCCTTTGCCGTTGCTTCACCCTCCAATGGCCGCTGCGGCCGGCGCACCGTGCTGATCCGAAGGCAGGAGCCAGGTGCTTCTCCTGGTCTCCCATGGGGTGCAGGGCCCAAGCACCTGGGCCATCCTCCACTGCACTCCCAGGCCATGGCAGAGAGCTGGCCTGGAAGAGGGGCAACCGGGACAGAATCCGGCGCCCCGACCGGGACTAGAACCTGGTGTGCCGGCGCCGCAAGGTGGAGGATTAGCCTAGTGAGCTGTGGCACCGGCCGGAAGGCGTCTCAAAACAGCAGAGATGGAATTCCAACCTCAGGAGTGGGCAGCCCTGGGAGCTGTGCTGGTGACGAGCTCAGAGGGGCCAGCCCAGGGCCAGGACACCTGGGGAACCGTCTGGGGAAGAGATTGCTTCGGGGTGAATGATGCTGCCTGGCTCCTCTGTGAAACCCTCCCTTAGGCCCATACTGCTCACCGAGACTGCTGTGTGACCGTGGGCAGGAGCTGGCCAGGGTCCCGAGGGCTGGGGGGGAGCAGGGCAGCACACAGACTCCGGGGTGCACAGGGCTCCCGTATCCTTAAATCCCTGCTGATTCTCCTGCTTCCTCTACCGGAAGGCCCCGCGAAGAGTGAACTGTGCCTCTTCCTTAAGCATCTGCACATTGCCTCCCCACCCTGCCCAGCCCACCTGACAGATACCCTCCCAGATGACAGGCACTTTGATTGGGGTACAGGCATTCTGAGTGGCAGTTTAACATGCTGCACCACAATGTCCACCCCTCCACAAGTCCCATCTCCACTATTTTTAAAAAAGCTTTTATTTAATGAATGCAAATTTCATAGGTACAACTTTAGGAATATAGTGGTTCTACCTGCCCTCCCACCCCCACTCCTGCCACCTCCTCCTCCCTTTCCCATCCCATTCTTCATTAACATTGGTTTTTAATTATATACAGAAGACCAACTCTATACTAGGATTTCACACACACACACAACGTGTAAAGTACTGTTTGAGAACAAGTTTTCCAGTTAATTTTTTTTTTATTTTTTTGACAGGCAGAGTGGACAGTGAGAGAGAGAGAAAAAAAGGTCTTCCTTTTTTTGCCGTTGGTTCACCTTCCAATGGCCGCTGCGACTGGCAGGAGCCAGGTGCTTCTCCTGGTCTCCCATGGGGTGCAGGGCCCAAGCACTTGGGCCATCCTCCATTGCACACCTGGGCCACAGCAGAGAGCTGGCCTGGAAGAGGGGCAACCGGAACAGAATCCGGAGCCCTGACCAGGACTAGAACCCGGTGTGCCAGCGCCGCAAGGTGGAAGATTAGCCTAGTGAGCCATGGCACTGGCCCCAGTTAACTCTCATAGTACACGTCATTAAGGACAGAGGTCCTACATGGGGAGTAAGTGCACAGTGACTCCTGTTGTTGACTTAACAATTGACCCTCTTATTTATGACGTCAGTGGTCTCCTGGGGCTCTACTCATGAGCTGCCAAGGCTATGGAAGCCTTTTGAGACCATTAACTCCGTCACTATTTAAACAGGGCATAAGCAAAGTGTAAGTTCTCGCCTCTCTTCAGAGAAAAATAAATACTTCTTTGATGGCCCCTTTCCACTGGGGTCTCACTCACGGAGATTCTTCATGTAGGACATTTTTTGCCACAGTATCTTGGCTCTCCCATGCCTGTAGTGCTCTCCTGGGCATTTCAGCCAGATCCGAATGCCTTAAGAGCTGATTCTGAGGCCAGAGTGCTGTTTAGGGCATTTGTCATTCTATGAGTCTGCTGTGTGGCCTGCTTCCCATGTTGGATCATTCTCTTCTTTTTAATTCTATCTATTGCTATTACCAGACACTGGCCTTACTTATGTGTTCCCTTTGACACTTAATCCTAACAATGATCAATTACACTTTTAAAATGATCACTTTAAAACGTAAGATGGTATTAGTACCACCCAGCTTAATGGGATTTGGAGTCCCATGGCAAGTTTTTAGCTTTACCCTTAGGGGTAAGTCCATGGGAATGTGTGTTGAACTCTGCAGCTCCTCCCTCTCTTATTCCCACTCCTACTGGGATCTATTTTCAATTGACTTTATACACCTATGATTAATTCTATGTTAAGTAAAGAGTTCAACCAATGGTATTAAGTAGAAAAAATAAAAGAATAAAATAATAAACTGCTCGACAGTCAAGACAAAGGCTGTTCATAGTGTTTCTCATAGTGTCAGTTTCACTTCTGCAGGTTTCCTTTTTAAGTGCTCTGTTAGTTGTCACAGAGAAGGGAAAACATATGGTATTTGTTCCTTTGGGACTGGCTTATTTCACTCAGTATGATGTTTTCTAGTTTCATCCATTATATTGTGAATGACTGGATTTCATTTCTTTTAGTGCTGTGTAGTATTCCATAGAATACATATCCCATAATTTCTTTATCCAGTCTTCCACTGACAGGCATTTAGGTTGAGTCCATGCCTTAACTATTGTGAATTGAGCTGCAATAAGCATGGGAGTGCAAATAGCTCTTTCATATGCTGATTTCATTTCCCTTGGGTAAATTCCGAGGAGTGGGATGGCTGGGTCATATGGTAGGACTGTATTCAGATTTCTGAGATATCTCCAAATTGTCTTCCATGGTGGCTTTACCAGTTTGCATTCCCACCAACAGTGGATTAGGATACCTTTTTGCCCACATCCTCGCCAGCATTTGTTGTTTGTTGATTTCTGTATGAGAGCCATTCCAACTGGGGTGAAGTGAAATCTTATTGTGGTTTTGATTTGCATTTCCCTGACAGCTAGTGATCCTGAGCGTTTTTTCATGTGTCAGTAGGCCATTTGGATTTCCTCTTTTGAGAAACGTCTGTTTAAGTCCTTTGTCCATTTCTTAACTGTGTTGTTTGTTTTGTTGTTGTTGAGTTTTTGATCACTTTATATATTGTGGTTATTAATCATTTATCAATTGCCTGGTTTGCAAATAATTTCTCCCAATTTGTTGGTTGCCTCTTCACTTTCCTGAGTGTTTCTTTTGCAGTACAGAAGCTTCTCAATTCGATGTAATCCCATTTGTTAACTTTGGCTTTGACTACCTGTGCCTCTGTAGTCTTTGCTAGGAACTCTTTGCCTGTGCAATGTCTTGCAGGGTTTCCCCCAATGCTCTCTAGTAATTTGATGATATCAGGTTGTAGATTTAGGTCTTTAATCCATTTTGAACGTATTTTTGTGTAAGGTGTAAGGTGGGGGTCCTGCTTCATATTTCTGCATGTGGAGATTCAGTTTTCCCAGCACCATTTGTTGAAGAGACTGTCCTTGCTCCAGGGAATAGTTTTAGCTCCTTGGTCAAATATAAGTTGGTTGTAGATGCTTGGATTGATTTCTGGCATGTCTATTCTGTTCCACTGGCCTATCCATATGTTTTTGTAAGAGTTCCAGGCTGTTTTGATTATAACTACCCTGTAGTATATCTTGAAATCTGGTATTGTGATGCCTCCGGCTTTATTTTTGTTATATAAGACTGTTTCAGCTATTCGGGGCCTCCTGTGTTTCCA